CTCAGCACCCCAATGGAACTTCTCCCCCTTCTTGAGCAGATTAGAAAGGGGAGCAGTCAAGACAGCAAAGCGGGGAATAAATGTGCGGTAGTAGTTCGCAAACCCCAACAGTTGTTGCACATCCTTAACCCGCTGTGGAGGTTCCCACGTCTGCAATGATTGTATCTTTTTCGGGTCCATTGCCACCCCGGCAGGTGAAACACGATGTCCCAAGAAGTCAATCGTTGTTTGTGCAAACTGACACTTCTCACGTTTAGCAAACAGGTCGTTATCACGCAAACGTTGCAACACCAGCTGCACATGCTGCCAGTGTTCCTGCTGGAAGTCTGAGTAAATCAAAATGTCATCTAAATAAATGACCACGAATTGATCCAACAAATCACGGAAAACATCGTGCATGAAATGCATGAATACAGCTGGGGCATTGGTTAATCCAAAAGGCATCAAAATACTCAAAATATACTCAAAATGACCGTACCTTGTCCGGAAAGCTGTTTTCCACTCATCCCCTGCACGAATGCGAACCAGATTGTAGGCCCCACGCAAATCCAACTTCGTAAAGATCTTAGCTTGACGAAGCCGCTCAATCAGTTCAGTTTGGCATTTGCCAGAGAACACCAAGATTGACAAATTTGCCACTGGCGCCTTGTGCTCTTCACAGATGAAAGCAGGTTCACTTTAATTTTGAGTGTAACTCCAAATCCAGACCTCCATGGGTTGCTAAATTTGATTTCCATTGATCATTTTTGTGTGATTTTGTGGTCAGCATATTCAACTATGTAATGAACAACGTATTTAATAAGAATATTTCATTCATTCAGATCTAGGATGTCTTATTTTTGTGTTCCCTTTATTTTTTTGAGCAGTGTATATTCTACAACATTTCTTTATTATTACTATTCCCTTCAATACAAAACATCACATACTAGGGAGATCATAATAAGCTGGACTTATGCAACCTGATGTACAAAATAAACACATATTTATGCTCTGGACTAGAGATTGAATGCATGTAAATCCCTGAAAAATATGTGGTAGCCCTGGCCAAAAAAAGGCAGTAAAATCACTCTAGGTGTAGGGACAGTGTAAAATATTAATACATGATAAATAGTGGAACAATTCAAAATAATAACACAGACTTTTGTTTTTCTCTCTCCTATTTCTTTTTTTCTTTTGTTTGTTTCTCTCTTCCTGATCTCTCTCTCTCTCTCTCTCTCTCTCTCTCACACACACACACACACACACACACACACACACACCTGTTCATCCAAGCCCAAGAAGGGGGTGAATAAGTGGGGGGAGGGACTTCTAGGTTTCTAGGAAGAGGCACCCCTGGAAGCTGCTCTACTCTCTAACCACACAGACTGTTGATCAATTGGTCATCAGTGTTTAGTGTCAAGAATGGCTCCTAATTGCAAATAGGATCTCTTTGCAAATTCTGTTTTAAGGCAATAAGAAAAGATCCGATGGATCAGACAAAGGTCAGTCTAAGATTCACAGGGAGCACACAAATCCCTCTGGTTCTCCCTGGTCGGTCAGGGGAGGTCATACAGGCGATTTCTCCTCCCCCCCCCGGAGGATGGAAGGGAAGCAGCTCCCTGGGGCGAGGGGGAGGACAGGGCTTATTGAACTGGTATCTGGATCTCTTCTTTCTTTCTGATCTTCCTTTTTCTTTCTCTCCCATCCTCTCTCTCGCTTGCTCACAAACACCTAGTCTGGGAAGAACTGAATGAACTCACATGCAGCTCCAGTCAGCAGCGAGGCGGCGGGATAAGGAAAAAATAGGACGGCACGCTCTCCCAAAGACCTCCACCGCCCCACTCCAGCCCTCTCTCTTTCACACACACACACGCACACACACACACACTTCCTATTTTTTTCTTTAGTTTCTTTCTGATCTTTCTTTTTCTTTCTCCCTTCTCTCTCTCTCTCTCTTGCTCACACACACCAGGTCTGACTGGGACAGTGCGAGAAGGCAGAAAGTGAGTGGTGGGGCGGCAGCTGGACTCGCTTTGTTTATTTCATTTCCCAGCGGTTACGGCGGCGATGATATTCCGAGAGGGCGGGGTGGGCGGATGTACCGGGTCTGCTGCATGTGTGCACCTCCACTGCCCCCTCAGCCTCAGCGCAGCAGAGATGCCTCTCAAGCTCTGCACGTCCACCTGCTGGCCAGGCTGAGATGGGAGGAGGCAGAAAGCGGCCAGCACATGCAGCCGCCATGGCCGGTCACTTTGTTCATTTTGTGCCCTGGGAGAGCAGCAAAAGGCCTGCTTGGGTGGGGAGGAAGGAAAGCCCCAGCTCACCCATTCTGGCTGGCAGCTCTGTTTCCCCTGCTATCCAAGGTTCCGGCACACTGGCCAGCTTGGATACGGGGCATTTGACACCCCGCCAGCTAATGCTGCCCCGCCAGCTGCTTCTGCCTCTGCCAAGAGCAGTTCTTGCCCATCTCTCGCTGCTGCTCTTTTGGGGAGACACTGCTGCGTGTGTGAACTACCGCCACCCTCTTACCTGCAGTGGTGGCAGGCTGGCCTGCGCGCCGGAACCTGGAAGAGAGTAAGGGGAGCAGAGGTGCTGGCACGCAGGTCCACCCCATTGAGCCCGCTGCACTGGAGCGACTTGCCCACGCGCCTTCTTGCAGAAAGTCCCGGCCTCACGTGTGCACATGTGAGGTCCCAGGACTTTCTGCTAGGAGATGGTGCGTGGGCTACCGGCTCATTTCCAGCTAGCAAAGAGGCATCAACTGGGAGACTTCTTGCACCGAAAAAAAGAGGCAGCAGCTGCAGGCATGTTGTGACGGGGGGGGGGGGGGGGGAGATGTGGGCTGGCAGGGAGCCCAGTGGCTCTCAGCCCTGGCTTGCCTTCCCTGGCAGCCAGCCGCTGGAGGAAGGTAAGGTCGCAGCCATGGATGATGAAAGAGGCAGTCGTAGGGGAGGAAGCGAGGAGATTAAGGGCCGGGCCAGGGCCTCTGAAGGAGGGGAAAATAGGCAACGCATTGCGCCTAAGGGAGAGCAGGTGGCAAGTGGTCGGCGGCTCCAGGGCAAGGCTGGAGCTGGGGAATCACGCATTCCCCGACCCAGCCGAGGCGTTTCCAGGGCCTCAGAATAGTGCACGTCCCTGGGGCCCTGGCCCCCAACCCAAGGCGAAGGCTCAGCGGACGGCATGCATTGGTTACCTTTGGTGAGCTGAGCCAATCGGGCATCAACAAGGCAACTGGCAAGGCAGTTAGCTGGGCCATGTGGCGAAGCCAATATATATAGGGTGGGGGTGGGCGGGGCGAGCACCAAACAGCCGGAAAAGATGATCGAGCATCCGGAAGGGGCGAGCGACCGTTGGGTGACCATACCGGTTTGGGGCATGGCCAGCCAGAAGTCGCTACCGGTTCCGTGACCCACACCAAATTCTACCAGGTCGCCAGAACCGGTGTGAACTGGCTGAATAGCACCTCTGCCCCCCACCCTTCTTTCTAGCAGCCCCTTAAAAGCCTGTTGCCTATCACACTCTTGGACAAAGCATGTGAGCCATTTCCTCCTTTCAGTGATCAATGAAAGTACATCTGTAGTATGTAGATAATAAAGTAAAAAATAGGTGAACAATATTTTTACAGAACTATAGATACCTTGAGGCTGGGTGTGACAAGGAGTGGCTGGGAGGGGAGGGGACAGGCGAGGCATCCTTTGACATGAGTGACATTGGGTTGGCCACACCCACACAGTCACATGACCGCCAAGCATGCCCACCAAATAAGTCACACCCACAGAACCAGTAGTAAAAAAATTTGAATCCCACCACTGCTCAGGATGAGTGATGAGGTGAGATCAGCCCAAGAAACAATGCATTGTTCTAAAACAGGGATGTCCAACTTTGCTAACTTTATGACTAATGGACTTCAACTCCCAGAATTCCCCAGCCAGAATGCGGAATTCTGGGAATTGAAGTCCACAGTTCTTAAAGTTGCCACAGTTGAATGTCCCAGTTCTTGAACAAACACGGTTTGACAAAAGTGAAGGGAGCAGATGAAAATGTTGAAATCCTCTCCAAATCTCTCCCACCTAGAAATGCCATTCTGGCCTCTCCAGTTCAGGCTCTTACCTCTAAGGGAAAGAAAAATGCCTTCAGCACCTCTGACCTCCCCCCCCCCCCAGTTTTTCTTCCTACCCTCTTTTCTTTTCTTTGCAGACATTGAAGGAAGAGAGCCTACAATTTGAGGAGGAGCCTGGTAGCATCTTTTCTGACTAACACATTTCATTAAAAGGCATAAGCTTTTGTGAGCCCTAGTTCAGGCTTTTTAATAACATTATTTGGAAAAGGTGCTACCAAGCTCTTCCTGATATTTTTCCACTTTCTTTGCAAACCTTTTTATTATTCAGATAGATTTTATGGATTTTATTTGGGCGGGGCAGAATAGAGGTTCTGTATCTTTAATTGGCAAAACCCCATGGAGAAAGGTTTTCTGGACATAGAATATAAAAGTACAGGTAGTCCTTTACTTACTACCACAATTGAGCCCAAAATTTCTGTTGCTAAGTGAGACATTTTGCCCCATTCTACAACCTTACTTGCCACAGTTGTTAAACGAACCATTGCAATTAAGTTAGTAACACGGATGTTAAGTAAATATGGCTTCCCCGTTGACTTTGCTTGTCAGAAGTTCACAAAAGGTTGATCACATGACCCAGGACACTGCAAGCATCATAAATATGAGTTAGTTGCCAAGCATCTGAATTTTGATGATGTGACCATGGAGATGCTGCAACGGTCATAAGTGTGAAAATGGTCATAAGTCATTTTTTTCAGTGCCATTTTACTTTGAACAGTCACTAAATGAACTGTTGTAAGTTGAGGACTACATCTATATCTCATTCCCTGATTTTCTACTTTTATGTTGCTGTTTCAGAGTAGATTTGGGAGGGGGGGCATAGAGGGGAAAATGGCCTTAGGGCACCTGCTTTTTTTCTTGGCTTTATTTTTTGTAATTTTTTTTCTGCTTATTCTCCTTAAAAGTGTCAACGCTCTATAAAGTATGAAGAGAGTCCCCCTATAGTGAAGGAAACATGGCAGATAAGAGGAAGCTACAAGGTAAGCAATGTGGCTGGACTAGGAGCCTAGTTTTATAGCAGAAGAACAGAGAGTCTATTCACCTAGACTGGCGCAGAAGAAAGAGGTGGGCATAAATTGAGCAGAAGGCAAACAGGATTCTTACTTTGAATACCTGGCACAGGATGCTGTATTTTCCAAATGAGTATGTGATGCGATTAGGGAAGTGTGAGAAGAGTTAGGTTTTGTGTTTGTGTGGGAAATCAATAAAATGGGGGCAAAGGTGCTGGAATTTGGGAAGAAGGAAAAACAGGCAGCGTTTCAAAATTCCAATTGTCTTTCTTCCTCTTTTAGGTTTCAGGGAAGGTATGAACCTGTTGCTTCCTGTGATTTCTTTCAACCAATTTATCTCTCCCCTCCCCCACCCATTCTTACAGGTGAGATCGATCGGTGTCTCAAAAAGGTATCCGAAGGTGTGGAGCAGTTTGAAGATATCTGGCAGAAGGTGAAGGCTGCTGTCATCTCTCTGCCTGGGTTCTGTCCAAACTCCTTGATTATCACCCCACGTAGTTCCTCATCCTAATTTTATTTTTGGGAAGGGAGGATCAGGGAGAGGAGGGAAGAAGTCATTTGGCTCCCGCTTTTTTCCAGTTTGATTTTGCCCTCCACTTCATGACACTATCAACTCCAGCCTTGATCACATCTTGGGTTCCCCTCCCCTCCTCTGCTACAGCTCCATAATGCAGCAAATGCCAATCAGAAGGAGAAATATGAAGCCGATCTGAAAAAGGAGATTAAGAAGCTCCAGGTAAGAATGAGCCAAGCTTCAGTATTCTTTGACAACCCAATATCAGGAGATTAGTTATGGAGAATAACCTGAAATCCAGGGAAAGGCAGATGGGAAATGTTGTCCCCAAAAGGCTTTTGTTAGATAAGAAGAGGGGGTGGGAGTTTGTCAAGTTGCAATGCAGTGTTTGCATTCCTCTCCCGGAGACTGAATCAGAAGTCCTAAGTTTGTGAAACAGTCTTGTCAAGCTCCAGGGAAATTAGGGGATCCAGGCAGTTCAAATAGGTATAAAGATTTATTGAAAACTTAAGCTCTGTGCAAGAATCTGAACTACCGTAGATAAGAGTCACAGGAATTCAAGGTGGGCTGGACTTAGATCTCTTGAGGGCAGGAAGGGATTCATGACTTATGACATGCTTGACCCCTCCCTCGGGCTCAGCCCAGTCATGTACCGGTCTAGATGTTTCCAGACTGTGTGTTCCAAAATGTCCTTTGACAGTTCCCTCCATTCTCTGCTATCATCATTTAACTCAGAAGTGCTAATAAAAATTCAGATAAAGTTCAGGGAAACATACATTGAAATCATCACTCCCTACATTTTTCATGAAAAACAACTTATGTTGGAAAAAGCAAAATTTGCACGACAAGAGAAAGGAAAAAGGTAGCAAGCTATGTTGAGTTGCTGATTGCTTGGCTTCTAACAGACGAAATTTAAATCCCAATAGATACAGGTACTGACTATTTGAAGTTACAACAGCACTAAAAAAGGAGGCTTATGACTGGTCCTTGCACTTATGACCGTTGCAGCATTCCCACGATCACATGATCATGAAAATTTAGACAGGATGTATTTACAAAGGTTGCAGTGTCCAGGGTCACATGATTGCTATTTGCGATCTTCCTGGTCAACTTCCAATAGACCAAATCAATGGGGGAAGCTGGATTCACGTAACAACCACGTGATTTACTTAACTGCAATATTTGCTTAACAACCGTGGCACAAAAGATTGTAAAATGGAGTATGACTCATTTAACAACTGACTCACTTAGTTAATTAGAAATTCTCCCTCGAGCTGCTCGGATCATCCAGAGAGTGGGAAGTGCTCCAGTCTGCGTCTGTGTAGGCTGGACTTAATCATTAGGGAACGCTCCGCCCTCTGTCACATGGTCCTCCCAGTTTATGTCCAGCCTTTGCAGAGTTAGGCTGTGTGTTTTGATTGTGCTTCCTACTCTTTGGCTGATTCAAGCAGGATAATATTTCAGTTCAGGTTTGATTTAAGCTTATTATTTCCTTAGCCTCTGCGCATCTGGGGATGTCTTGAGACTTAGGGGTGTGCGTTTTTCGCCCCCAGGGGGCTGGGCGGGCAGCTTAGCAACACTTAGTGCTAACACCCCCCCCACCCCCCCACCCCCTCTCCTCTCTGCCGTTTATTTCTTTTTTTCCTGCCTTGCTGTCCTGGTGCCTTTCTAAGGTCTGGAGCCTTTTTTATACTGGTTTTCCCCCCACTAATGCCAATTTCAGCGTCCTCGCCCTCGTGGCTTGCAGGATGCACCCACCCTGAGCCGCCCGCTTTGCCTTTCACTTTCGATTTCCAGGCGGCCGCCATTTTGGGCGCCGCCTCGTGGCTGGGCGACATTTTGCAGGCCTCCTATTGCTGCGACGTTCTGCTGGCCCTAGGCTTAGGCTCCCAGGCCTAGTAGGGCTGATCTCTCTATCTCCCTCTCCCAGAGGGGAAAAAGAAAGCTGTTCTTTACTCTTTACTCTGTTAATGGTTGGTGTAAGTGTTGGCTTCCGCAGCAGATCTCAGGGTGGGGAATTAGAAAAGCAGCCACTCCCTCCCTGAGTGGGGGAAGCTGCCTGAGGCCTTGTATTGCTGGCGTTGATTTGGCTGATTGGCTTCTCTTCCTTTTACCAACTGCCAGGTTGTTATTCAGTCTAATACAGAATATCTTCATATTTCCTTACACCAAATACTGGCATTTTTTCTCTCTCAGATTTGCTTAGAGAGACCTAGCTTCCATCACTGTCGCTGCAGTGTGTTTTCCTGGATCCTTATCCTGGTGGGATATAATTGTACATTAAAAGTCTATATCTGTGGCAGTTTTTTTTTTTTAAAAAAAAGAAAAAATAAAAAAAATTATTTTTTTTTGGTCATATTTTCAGATTATTCATTGCAAATTCCAAAAGGGGGCGCGGGCCAGTTTCTGGATACCCGGCCTTACCCAGGTCGTATCCTAGGCATGCCAACCGCCTGTACACACACACACACACACACACACACACACACACATATATATAT